GTGTGTGTGTGTGTGTGTGTGTGTGTGTGTGTGTGTGTGTGTGTGTGTGTGTGTGTGTGTGTATGGTATTTAAGTACTGAAATGGATGAGATAACCAAGAGAGTGAGAATTTAGAAGCAGGGAAAAAAGAGTTCTGAGCCCCGGGCATTTTAACATCTGGAGGTACAGGATGTGAAGAGAAACTAGCAAAGCAGACAGAAAGAGTGACTGGTGAGGGAGAAAAAAATCAAGATAATATGGACTCATCAAAGTCAAATGGGGGCATCAGGGTTCAAGGAAGTGATAAGGACTCAAATATGTTGAATGCTGTTGATAAGTCAGTTTAGATAAGGTCTGAGAAATGACTTAAAGATTTAGCTACATGGGAGATACTGGTGATCTTGACAAGATATGTGCTAGAAGAATGGACAACACAAAAGTCTGAAGAGGCTTCAGGAGAGAATAAGAGGAGGAATTGAAGACAGTAGGAATTTACACTGATCATTTGATGTGTGTGAGTATATAGATAACATAGTTCTATATCCAGTGAGAATTTATTTTTTTAATCTAAATTAGGTATCTTTTTCATACTGGGAATCATTCCAAGTGAGATAAAATTTAAGGAAATCAGTGTTAACATTTACAAAGCCCTTCTGTAGTTTATAACACATTCTGGTCCACTACTTTAACTTTCAGAAGCACTTATTTCAAGCTGGGGAGAGTAGCAAACAAAGACCTTCCAAGTGGGAAGGGATTCGTCCTTTACTGTAGAATGAATCTTCAGGAGAGAAAGTAAGTTCACACCTTCTTACTCAGTTGGATTAGTTCCATGAAGCTGACAATGAATGTGGTTACAAAGGCAGACAGATTGTCTTCACCTTGGCACAGCACTGTTTCCTACACAGAGCATCCTTACATTTTATGGTGGACCTTCTAAGATGCGGCACTGTGTACTTTGCTACCAGGAGAGAAGGTTGGTGCTGTGCATTTCTTGCAGGCCTGGCCATCTGACCGGTTTCCTCTGAAATGTAAATATTCCAAGGCAGTATGAGAAGGGTCCCATCTGGTAACAAGAAAACCACAGGAAAGATCAAAGGGACAAGGCTTTTCTTTTGTTGACCCTTAAAAAAAAACTTCAGCGTCCTGTTCCTCACCCACAAATTGCCTTCAAAATAAAACTAAACCGTGTACGCCTGGCAGTCAAGGTTTATTTCAGCTCGCTCCATGCCGCCCATCAATATCATCTCGCTCTAGGCACTCTGAGCTACCTTGTGCTCCAAGCAGGGGCTCCTACACTGTCTCCCGAACCCCTCATACCCTTCCCTGACCTGGAGCACTTCTCTCATGCTGCCTGGAGCATTCACTCCCCCCACCCCACCCCATCCCTCCCTCTTTCTCGACTTCCTGAGGTCTGCAGTTGTAGGTTATATTCCTTGTTTTGTCCACAGGGATTAGCAGAGAGTCAGATATAGACAAATCTTGTACTTTTATAGCTTTAACTGGCCTTGTGGCTCAGCCTCAGTCCTTTAGAGAGAAGGAAATGAGAGCCCAGAAGATATACTGAAAGATATTACACAGATATATTTTTTTAAGTGTTAAAGTAATTCAACAATATGGAAGTGAATAACGTGGAAAGTGTAAGTTCTCCATATTCCCAAGCAGTCGAGCTGATCATTATTTTTCTTTCCAGGTATTAGTCTAGCTGCAGAGAAAAAAAATTCTCCCAAAGAGGGCATTGCATTATATACTTTGTTCTGCAACTTGTTTATTATTTTTCTCCACTTAATATTTCATGAACGTCTTTCTGTGTCGGTATATATAGATGACTTGAAGAAATTCAGTTGGAGAAACGTCTTAGGTATGTTTTTCTCTACATCAAAGAGGCTCTGCAGGTGGCTGCAAGTAAAACTAATCCAATTAAGCAAAATAAAAATGCAGGGTATTCTCAGTATTCCAGCTTCCTTGGCACTTTTCCTATAGCAGGAGAGGGACCCTCCATCCCAGCGCCTCTGTGAAGAAGGACCAAGTGTACACAGGGAACCAGAGTCAGGATTGGGTACCCGGAGAAGAGAGAGAATTTGGTAGTTGGGGAAACCAGCCCCTGGGCAGAAGTGGAGCATCCTCCTCACTGTCCTTACCTTTTCCCTCTGCAGGCTCAGAGGTTTGTCTCCTTTCCCTTTTGAGAGCACTCCGTAACTACTGTCTCCTTATCGAAACCTCCCCTCCCAGCATCACTTACCTCCACCGCTTTCAGAGAACGCGACCTCCATCTCTCCCACCCGCCCTCGCCTTGTTCTCTTCGGGTGCTAGCTTTTCTTGTTCCCGAAAATATTTTGAAAAATATTTGGATCACAACAACCTTACTCAACTCCCCTGTGTAGCAATCAGCCATCCGATGCAGACTGATAACTCGTGCCCCTAAGGTCGTGTCCCTAAGGCTACTCTGGATCACAGTAGGTAGCTGACCGAATGACCCCGATGCGGATGCCAGGGTGCAACCCACCTCCGGGCGGGTAGGCGGCCAGTCCCAGCGGAGTGGACCACTGGCAGATGTGCAAGGAAATGAGCTTAGGTACCCAGCCGGGAAAAAACGAGCTCCAGAGGCTGAGTTTCAAACCAGATACTTCTTTATTTCCATTTTAAAATATCCTGCGCACTCTAGCCTGAGTCGTCCCGTTCCCAGCAGAGGGGGGCCTATAAGCCAAAGCTCAGCCCCCTCTGGCCCCGGAGCGCCTCTCCGTCACTAAGCTGCCTTCCATTTCACCTTCAGCATCCTCCCCGCTCCACCCACTAACTTGCCACCATTTACATCAGCGCAGCCCACAGAGCGCTCGTTTCCCGGACTTTCGTTTTCTGCTCGAAGCAAACAAAGAGCCGGTTACGTCCGCTTGGGCCCCCGCGGCGCCTGATCGAGGAGCCTCGGAGACTCCAACCTTGTCGCGAGAAGCAGGGCTGCCCCCGCTTCAGGGCGGCCAGGCCTGTGCCCACCTCCGGCCGGACGGGGAAGTGAGCGGGGCCGGCGACGCCCCCTTCTGCTCCCGGAGCGCCCCGCACCCTGCGGCCGCCGCCCGACTTTCCAGATGCCAGGAAACTCCGCCCGGGGCCGGCGCCCTTGACCTCCCGGAGCTGCACCGCGCCCGCCGCCCCGAGCATCCCGCCCCGCTGTCCCCGCAGCCTCAGTCCAGGTGCAGAGCGGCCCGCAGGCGCGATGCTGCCGCTGTGGCTGCTGAACTTCGGGCAGAGGTTGCTGCTCTGGGGCGGGTTGTGCGCGGTCTCCCTGGCGGGCGCCATCCTCACCCTGCACCTCCTGCGGATGGTGGCGAGCTACGCGTGGACATGGCAGCAGATGCGTGCGGTCCCAACCTTGGAGGGCGCCTACCCCTTCCTGGGACACGCGCTGATGTTAAAGCCGGACGCGAGAGGTAAGGGACCGCGCCCAGGCCGGCCAAGTCCCCGTCCCAGGGATGGGGGCTCCTGACCTGCGCCGCGCCGCCGGCCTTCTTACAGCCTGGACACCAGGGCTTGAGGTGCTGACGCTGGGAGAGAGGATTTGTCACCCGCTGGAGGATAGAGTCCCAGTTCTATCCAGTTTCCCTATGACACCTGGCAAAATTGCTAGCGCCCTCCGTTCCCAGCGAACTGTTTCTTTGTGTACAGCGTAGGCTGCAGTATCTCTGAGCTTTTGTCCTGAATTTTTGCTTCTTCTCTTGCCACCTCCTACCTGCTCCTACCTCAGAGCACTGAAATCTTTGCTTCTGTCTTGGCTGTTAAAGCCTTAAAGACAGAAACTTCCCTGAACAAGGCAAATCCTTAGAACTTAGAAATCTCCCTCTCTCTCTCTCCCCCCCCCTCTCTCTTTCCCCTCATAGAATGAGTTAGGAAGATTCCCCCTGCTTCTATCCTCTGAAAGAGATTGTAGAGAATTCCCTCTCTCTCTCTCTCTCTCTCCCTCTCTCTCCCCCTCTCACATTTATTTATATGAAAACCACATTTGTAAAATCATTTTGGATAATACTAAAAGCAGAGCTAACCTCCCCTTCTATCCTAAGGCTTTATAGTATTAAAAAATAATTATGTAGAAATATGAACCCTCCCCTCCCCACAAAAGAAACAATATACTTGAGGAGTCTCATCATATTCTTTTTGGGAATTTTTCTAAGAATTGAAATCTCTATTGAATAAGACCTGTTTCAAAACAAACTGTGAGTTGATTGGAATATTTAACATAATTCTCTTTGGAATTACTTTCTGAGTGAAGAGAATGACAGTGTACTGTCTTTTATAAAGGGACTTTTTAATCCGTCATACAAGTACTGGATTTTGGCAACAGGTAAACTTTTGCTCAATTTCCAGCTCTGCAACCAAGTTGATGGATTTGGGGAAGTTGTTTGAAACTCTCTAAGTTAGAGGGGTTTTGTTTGTTTGTTTACCATTTACTTGTAAATGTAACTGTATTACAGAGTAATTTTAAGGATGAAATTTAATGCATGTGGTATCTAGATTACTGTCTAGAACTTGGTTAGACTAAGTTAGTTAAAGTTGTCAATCAACCATTTATTGAAGCCCTGCTTTGTGCCCAGCATTGAGCTCAGCAAAATTGGGGATATCGGAATATTCTGAGAAATATTCCCTGTTCTCAGCACCTTTGTCTCTTATACAGGAGGCTGTGCCTTTCATTTTGTGGCTACTGTCCAAATTCTGCCCTCAGTAATTCCACCTGGAGTATTGCAGTTGCTTTCCCATGAGCCCTTTGAACTCTAATCTCTTGCTTTTGCATCTATGTCAGCACCCGTCTTCCTCAGCTGCTACCTGCTATTGGACCTGATATCTTCAAACCACAGATTCAGACTTCCCTGTCTCTTCTGTCAGACCAGACCAAGGCAGGCAGTATATTAGCACGAAGCCAGATATTTTGATACTGTTGACCGGACCCAGCTCTTTTCATGGCAATGTTACCAACTGTCTTGACCAGAAGACATTTTGAAGAAGTGCGGTAATATGGTTAAGGTGGTGCATTCTGGGGTCTGACTGCCTTGGGTACGAGGCCAGATTCCACCATTTACCAGCTCGGTGATGTATTGGGCAAGTTGCTTAACTGTGCACAACTTCCTCAATTGTTTAATGACAGTAATAACAGCGTCCCATCCCATATAACTGTGGTGAGGCACAAAAGACATAATACACCTGAAACCCTGAGCACTAGATCTGACATATAATAACCTGCCATAGCAAGTAAATATGACATAATGAATGTTAATTATTTTAATATTATTATTATTAGGTTTGGCATGCAAACACTTAAAAAAATCAAGACTACTGATTTAATGTTATATGCAGTGGACATCCCCAGCCTTAGCCCTTCTCCAACTTTGAACAACTTGCCCTGAAGCTCAGGGGTGGGTGAAGCTTAAGGATGGAAGAGGACCAGGGATGGACTGAGCACGAGCACATTTTCTGACATGGAAAAAGACCTGAAGAGCTTAATGGTTCTGTTTTTTATGCCATACCAGTTTTTCCCCTTGCCCAAATTCCCACGTTAAAAAAAAAAAAAAACCCTGTCAAAATATCAAGCATCATATTAGTAGCCTCACAGTGAGTTTGGGATGAATCCCATTGTTGTCAATCAGGCATTCCCATTGCCCAGGAGAAGCTCTGGATACCCATATGCCTCCCAACTAGCCTTCCCCTCCACAAAATTGGAAAGGAAGAAGTAAAACTGTTACTCTTTGCAGATAACATGATATTATAGAAAACCCTAAAGACTCCAGCAAAAAAAAATTATTAGAGCTAATAAACTACTTCAGTAAAGTTGCAGGATACAAAATCAACATATAAAAATCAGTTGTGTTTCTATACACTAATAATGAACTATCAGAAAGAGAAATTAAGAAAACAATCCCATTTACAATTGCATCAAAAAGAATAAAACACCTAGGAATAAATTTAACCAAGGAAGTAAAACAGGTGTACACTGAAAACTATGAGACACTGCTGAAATAAATTGAATAAGACACAAATAAATGGAAAGATATTCCATGTTCATGGACTGGAAGAATTAATATTGTTAAAATTTCCATACTATCCTGAGCAATTCTCAGATTCAATGCAATCCCTATCAAGCTCTCAATGACATTTGCCACAGAAATAGAATAGTACCAAATTTTGTATGGAATACAAATGACCTCAAATAGCTAAAGCAATTTTGAGAAAGAAGGACAAAACTGAAGGCATCACACTTCCTGATTTCAAGATATATTACAAAGCCATAGTAATCAAAACAGTATGGTATTGGCATAAATGCAGACACATAGATCAATGGAACAGAATAGAAACCCAGAAATAAACAGATGGTGGTCAATTAATTTACCACAAAGGATCCAAGAACACATAATGGGGAAAGGACAGACTCTCAATAAATGGTGTTGGGAAAACTGGACAGACACTTGCAAAAGAATAAAACTGGACCACTATCTTACACCGTGCATGATAATAACTCAAAATTGACTAAAGACTTAAGTATAAGACCTGAAGCCGTATACCTCATAGAAGAAAACATAAGTGGTAAGCTCCTTGATTTTTTGGATTTGACACCAAAAACAAAGGCAACAAAAGCAAAAATAAACAATTGAGACTACATCAAATTAAAAAGCTTCTGCACAGCAAATAAAACCATTAAGAAAATGAAAAGGAAACCTACAAAATGGGATATATGATTTGCAAATCATATATCTAATAAGGGGTTAATATCCAAAATATATAAAAAACTCATACAAGTCAATAGCAAAAACCCCTGAACAATCTCATTTAAAAATGGGCAGAGGGTCTGAATAGACATTTTCCCAAAGAAGGCATACAGATGACCAACAGATACATGAAAATGTGCTCAACATCACTACTCGTCAGGGAAATGCAAATAAAAACCACAATAGGACTTCACCTCACACTTTTTAGAATGGCTATAATCAAAAAGACAAGAAGTAACAAATTTTGGCAAGAGAGAAGGGAACTCTTGAGCACTGTTGGTGAAAATGTAAATTGCTGCAGCCACTGTGGAAAACAGTATGGGGATTCCTCAAAACATTAAAACATTAAAAACTGAACTACCGTATGATCCCTCAGTTTCACTTCCAGGTATATATACCAAGAAAATGAAAACATTAACTTGAAAAGATATATGCATGCCATGTACACTGCAGTATTATTTACAGTAGCGAAGACATGGAAGCAACCTAAGTGTCCATCACTGGACGAATGGATAAAGAAAATGTGGTACACACACACACACACACACACACACACACACAGAGGAATATTATTCGGTCATAAAAAGGAAGGAAATATTGCCATTTGTGAAAACATGGATGAACCTTGAGGGCATAATGCTCAATGAAATAAGTCAGACAAAGCAAGGCAAGTATTTTGTGATCTCACTTCTGTGTGGAATCTAAAACAACAACAACAAATATCTCTCTGGGAGATATTAAATGACTTGTCCAAAGTAAAACAAAAACAAAAACCCCAAGGAACCAAAAGACACAATAAGGAACTTATTACAAAATTTTTGTCTTTTAAAAACTTTTTATTGGAGTATAGTTGATTTACAATGTTGTGTTAATTTCACGTGTACAGCAAGGTGAATCAGTTATACATATACATATACCCACTCTTTTTTAGATTCTTTTCCCATATAGGCCATTGCAGAGTACTAAGTAGAATTCCCTGTGCTGTATCCTTATTAGACAAAATTCTTGTCTTGATTAAATTTAAGATTAAATATTTTCTCCCAGATTTTTTTCAGCAGATGATTCAGTACACCGAAGAATACCGACACCTGCCACTGGTGAAACTCTGGCTTGGGCCCGTACCTGTGGTGTTCCTTTATAACGCAGAAAATGTGGAGGTGAGTATGTGGCAGATGTGATCAATATTCCACTGCCTGTCTGATGGTGTGGGAATCTCATTAGATATGGTCATCCTCCAGATTCACCTGCCTCTCCCCTCTACCCTCAAGAAATGACTCTGCTTGGTTCCTAGTTTGTGGGAGGAACCAGGAATCATCTTGGACATTTTCCTTCCTTTCAACTCCATTTAGTCCTCAAGACTGAATGACAATTATACGTTCAAAACTCTACATTTCTTTGAGGCACAGGAATGAAAATGAATCACAGAGAAATAACAATTATGAAATCTTGCTTTAAAAATTAGTTGTGTTCTAGCCAGGTGTTCTTATAACTGAAATTGTTTTGATGTCCATATCCCTCAATTTTTTTTTCTCTTTTAAAGGTAATTTTAACTAGTTCAAAGCACATTGACAAATCCTATATGTACAAGTTCCTAGAACCGTGGCTTGGCCTAGGACTTCTTACAAGGTACCTCAGTGGAAATTTGTAAAGCTGTCTTGTAGAAACAGTTATTTCTATGGGTAACTTGTTATTTCAGGAACTGACACAAGGTATTCTTCCAATAGCAAGATTGAGGTATTGGGAATTATGGGAGAAGCTGGAAGGAAAGGTGCAGCTAACAATGGGCCTTTGATAGATAGGGTGTATGGTAATCTTCAGACACTATATTCAATAATGATAATCACTAGTGTTCCAAGAAAAATGAGGAGGTACTGATGTATGAATGGAGTAAAGCCAAGGATGGTTTGGAGAAGGGAAATCTTGAAAATATAATGAAAAAGGCAGTCACCCTCAGAGAAGTGTATTGAACACAGTAGCCTCACTTCTTGAGCTGGCACCCAGAAACAGGACTCCATCCTCTGAGAGAGGGCCTAGCAAGAGAAAGGCAGGACCCTGGTGGGGACTTTGGAGAATTCAAAGATAGTAGAGATGAAAGAAAATCATGGATCAGTGGATCATCTGAGGACTAAGATGTTGATAGAGGGGAGAAAAATTCTAATTTTTAGAAACTCAGAGCTTAGAAATTTAGAAAAATTCTTCAGTGTTTCCATTTTTAATGAATACTCTTCTAAACATTAGTAATATAGAACAGTATCCAAAATATTCACATTCTGTAACTATACATGAGTCTTTGTCATTCTGACCAAAGCATTTGAGAATCCGTAGATTAAGCTGTTTCAAGAGAACTTGATGATGACCTTATTTATATTTTATTTGTTTCAGGTGTTGCTTCTTTTTTCTTTGTAACCGTGTATTTTATTTCTAGTACTGGAAACAGGTGGCGCTCTAGGAGAAAAATGTTAACACCCACTTTCCATTTTACAATTCTGGAAGATTTCTTAGATGTCATGAATGAACAAGCAAATATATTGGTTAATAAGCTTGAAAAATATGTTAACCAAGAAGCATTTAACTGCTTTTCTTACATCACTCTTTGTGCCTTAGACATAATCTGTGGTAAGTCTCACTGATCTATTTTTAAAGTTAGGATGTAATGATAAAATGGCACAAATAGAAAATAACAGTCCATAGGGCGGGGCGGGGCGGGGGAGAAAGGACATTGGGTTCTTCTGGAAGGTCCTATTGCTAAATTAGCCACCTGAGAAGCAGCAGCCATTCTTAGGACTTCGGACAAATGGTCACTGAGCCAACATGACCAGAAGGTCCGAGGGAGGGAAGGGCAGGAACTGGGAGTAAGAAAAGCGGTAAGAAAGAACAATTCTACAATATATATGAACAGAACAGGACATGATGTCTTTTTTCAAGTGTCTGCCACTGGAAAATGTAGCCAAGATATGTGCATGAATTGAATGGTTTTTCTTCTCACTATATTTTACAGAAACAGCTATGGGGAAGAACATTGGTGCTCAAAGCAACGATGATTCCGAGTATGTTCAAGCAGTTTATAGGTAAATGAAGTCCTAATTATTTCTAAAATTGTTATTGGGAACCCCCTGGCAGTCCAGTGGTTAGGACTCCGCGCTTTCACTCTTGAGGGCCCAGGTTCTATCCCTGGCCAGGGAACTAAGGTCCCGCAAGCTGCATGGTGTGGCCCAAAAAAATAAAATAAAATTGTTATTGATCAGGGCTTTAAAAAATTCTTGCTAATAATTTGTCTGTACTGTAGCTTTTTCATCATTTCAAAGTGAAACATTATACTAAAAATTAACCTAACCATTTAAGCATATCTTTCAACGGTACAGGAATGGTTATGGCACATCCAGATTATGCAATAATTTTAAATGACTATTTTATAATATATCGAGAGATTACATTATGATGCTAAGTGATAAAAGAAAGACATAAATTTTTTTGTAGTTTGATAACCACTAGGTATAAAAACATTATTCATAGAAAAAGCTAGGAGATACAATACCAAAATGTTAGCTGCGGTTATTATTATTTTGTGTGTGTGCTCTCTTTCTTATTGTGTTTTGGTTTTGCTGTGATTCATTCTCCTTTCCTATATTTTCTGCACTGAGTATGTATTATTTTTTAATTGAAATAATCAACTTTACTTTTAAAATTGCTTGTGATTATTCAGCTATGAAGAGGCAGGGCCAGGATTTGATTCAGTGTATCCTATCTTTAAGTCCACGGCTCATTTCACTTCATCTTAACAACCACTTGTTGAGCATCTATAATCTGCCATTCACTGCACAAGGTACTGACTAGTTTTATATGGGCACATGAAACAGAACAGCAGGGGAGACAGGCAATGAAGCAAATGAATATAAACTTATAATAATTACTTAGAAAGAAAATGCCAAGTTGATATGAGAGAGGAAAACAGGGATGTGGTTTACAGATTGCGTGGTCAGGAAAGGTCTTCTCTGAGGAATTGACATCTAAGCTGGTCATGAAGGAGATCATGTGGAGGTCTTTCTGCTTCTCACTGGGAATGAGGGTGGTGCTCGCGACTGCTATGTGACAGATGGGCATTTAATGAGCACTTTTCTGTGGAAGTGCTGGCACTACGGAGGAGTGAGAAAGCAAGTGAGTGGACATTATAAAGAGGCAGATTTCATATCAGCTTGTGCTACAAGAGCCACAGGCAGCCTGGGGTGGTCAAGAACTCTCCCTGGAGAAAAAGAAGCAGAGATCAGATGACCATTTAGTAAGGATGTTTTATAACAGATTCTTCCTTCTTCTAAAGAACCCATTAAATGTTTAAGCTTCACTGGATGCGTAATACCCCATGCCTTCATTGTTGATTGTAAAGCCTGGATCTTAGTAGCCTCTAAGACGAATCATTATCATCCCTACATATTACCCTCATTGAGAGCGGGCATCAAATAGGTGCTCAAGAAATACACATTTTCACTGTATCAGCTGATGTGTTTTTATCCTATTTATAGGATGAGTGATTCAATACATCAAAGAATGAAGATGCCCTGGCTCTGGCTTGACCTTTTGTTCTTTATATTTAAAGATGGATGGGAACACAAAAGGAGCCTAAAAATCCTACATAATTTTACCAAAAATGTAAGCCCTTGATTTTTTTAAATTGTGATAAAATATACACCACATAAAATTTACCATTAACTGCACTCCCAGTGTTCTGAAACCATCACCACTCTCCATTTCTAGATCTTTTACACGTCCAAGATTTTTATGCTGTGTTAACATACCCTAGAGCCTGTGTCTCATAAAATAAAAGTTGAATAATAATGGAAAGAAGGAGACAGTGTGATTACATTTTAATTATGTACTCACCAAATATTAATTAAACACTTGTTAGGTGCCAAACACTGTACCAAGTGTTAAAAACATAGTAATAAGTAAGATATGTATGTCCCCTAAAACAGGTTAGTCTAGTGGAGGAGGTTGTCTATTAAAAAAATTACGAAATGTGATACGAACTATAAATATTTATTAACAACCAGGGTGCTATGTTGAATGAATAAAGAGGAGGGGATCCATGTTATGAGAGTCTTACGGAAAATGTTTGGATTAGGCAGTAGCTTTCAAAGGCCAAGGGCATTTATAGCAGTATCTCAACTTGGAAAAGATTAAAATTAAGTAGATGTCACTATTTTACTTCCAATTAAAAAATAACAAGGAGATAGTGATATTGTTTCAGATATAAGACGTCAGTCTTGTGTTAAACATGTGCTTTTGACAAAGCAATATTTAATTGAAAATATACATCAAATTATGATTTAAATGTACTGATAAAAGTACCAATTTAAATATATTCTCTCTTTGCTGTCAATTTCGGTTTAAACTATATTGGCATTTCTTCCTTACAGTGAGGTACAGCCTGTCACCAACAGATCATGTGGTTCCCAGTCAGGAAATGTTGGATGAATGAGGTGTTGGATTGAGGTGGCCACAGTGGAGGACAGAGTTATCTCCATTACCGGGCAGTAGGCGAATGACCAAATTTTTCCTCAAATTACATGCATTACTATCAATATCAATAATTAATGAATTCCAAATTGGTTGGACAATACTATTTATTTAATAAATAATGAAAGTTTCATACTGAGTGCCAGGCCCTAGGGTGCTCCCCCAAGAATGAAAGGAGATACGGTGTTTTGTCCTCAAAGCACTTAGGATCTATTCATTCAAATCACTTAGTAGCAGGTTTGGTCAATTGCCTGGTAGGAGAAGAAAGTTGAAATGTATAGCCAAATTAAGTTTATGGGCTTTAATTCTTTTATTCATTCAGAAAAGATCTAAGGAACGTCCTTAAAATGCCAGGCAGTGTTCTAAGGGTTGGAATTATATCAATGAACAAAGACAAATTTGCTGCCACATGGATGGTACATTCATGCATTATATTATATAGCAAGTATACTATAATGTCAGGTGGTAAATGAAATGGAAAAAAAAATAAAGTAAAAAATAAAGTAAGGCTAGGAAGATAGTGAGTGCTAGGGACCAGGTTAGCAGTCATCCGGGAAGGTCTTTCTGATGGTGTAAGAAGGGGCCAAGACCTTAAAAGGAGGGAGGAAGTCAGCCACACTGGCATCTGAAGAAAGAGAAATCTAGGCAGCAGGAACAGTAAGCACATAGGGTGAACTGACTGATCAACCTGCTGCTTCCTTTCCCCGATGCAACCTGTAATGAGAGCAATCCATAATTAGTCTATTACGTAATGATTGCATTCTCTCCACCACCTAAACTTTTTCTCATTAGCTCATCGAAATCTCTAGGGCACCACTTAGGGGACTACTAACTCTATTCCCGTGTTAGAAAGATGGCAGAAATAGCACTTGAATATTCTGAATTTGTCTGACATTAAATTTGTTTTTAAAAGTCTTATCAAATAATGCCCTAAAATGTTAACAGGAAGCTTTACTATATTTTCCACAAGAGCCTAAGTTATTGTTGAGTTAGAACAGGAAAGGTTTCATGGAAAAAAATCCATGAAAGAAGCTAGTATATTTTCATAAGAAAATATATTATGAGGCTACATCAAATTCCAAACAAGAGCATATGATTGTTTAAATCATACAGGTCATCACTGAACGGGCCAATGAAATGAAGAGACATGAAGAAGGTAGACGTAATGACAAGGACTCTCTTCCACACAATAAGAAACGCAGGGGTTTTCTTGACTTGCTTTTAAATGTGACTGATGACCACGGGAACAAGCTGAGTTATGAAGAGATTCGAGAAGAAGTTGATACCTTTATGTTTGAGGTATTTTATCTCATCACATTATTTTCGGGTATCATTAAACAAATTGCAGTTATTTTCTAGAATCTTTAGCATAACTTTAAAAAGTTTATTCAAGTTTTAAAGTGGCTTCATATAACTGAGGATGAGTCGCTACATTATAATCAGAAATTACAAAATGTAAGAACCTGATTAAGTACCAGATCAGCTTTCTTCTTCAGAAAAAGCCTTTGACTCGTGGTGAGTATAGCACCAGACACATTGTTTTCTCAGGAAAACCTAAAACCCATTGGATTTTTCCAAGTAGAAAAGAAGTCAGAAATTGCTCATTCCCTATATTGCTTCATGCTTTTTAAAAATTTCTGAAACCTACAAGTCTGTCGTTTCACTACCTCCTTTTTGAAGTTCTAGCAAATGAGTGCTTAGCTCTTGCTTTGAGCTGCCCAAACTAGAGAGGATAGCAAGAGCCCTCCAACAGAGAACTGAACTAGTTTGTGATTCTAAAGGGATTTCTGGCCTTCAAATAATGAAAAGAAAGATGCAGTTTTTACCAAAGGTAATTCTAGCATTATTAAATATTACAAAGAGTGAATCTCTCAGTGTGTGGATTGCCAAATAAAGATGAAGAAATGGTTTTGAAAAGCTCCCTGTGGTAATATACTGGAAGTGGAGGAAAGTGAAGGGCATGGGTAGTTTTGGATGGCTCAGTACATGCCAGCCATGGATGGTGTGAGCAGCCCTGCTTGCAGGCACCTGGATACAGTGTACCTCTGGGTACAGTGTACCTCTGGGTATACTGCCAGATCGCACATTCTCCCGGGGGCACAGTATAGGAAAGCAAGCTGTGTCAAGGGTCCCTAGACCCGAGTTCTCATTCTGGCTCCATGCTGACTAGCCTTAGGAGATGGTGCCAATCATCTCAGATCTCTGTCACAGCTTCCTTGTGTATAAAATAGAGAGATGGATTAGATCAGTGGTTTTAAACTTCTTTTCTAAGCAGAGCGCTTCATTGGAAAGAAATTTTATGCAGAAAATGGACATCTAAATTAGCTAAAAAGTGGAGCAGTGTTAAGCTGGGGTCTCTGGGGCCAAATCCCACCTCTAACCTGTACTAGAGGTGGGACCTCGGGTAACTCATGGAGCCTTTCTGGGCTTTGGTGTCCTCACTGTTATAGCACGGGCCTCGCAGGATAATTATAAGGATTAGATGAATGATTTTTTAAAGCGCACGAAGAATCTTGCCTGGCACATGGGAAAGGTGTGGTGGATATTGGCTATTATCATTTGAAGTTAAAGTGGAGAGACCGTCTCACATCTCCGCCCTGCATACACACGCACACACACACGCCCACGTACATACACTCTCACGCACACGTGCACACACACATCCTCCTCCTACCAAAAACCTCTCACTTTCATGAAAACAACCAGGATAATGATCTGTTTCTTCCAGCTCTAACATTGTTTGAAATTCTAAGTTTTTTCTTCTTTGCATCAAATAGGAGACACACCTCGTATGATTATAATATTGTGACCTCCTCCATAAAGAGGTTGCAGGTTATTACGACCACATCTTTCCTGCCCCAGGTGCTGGCCACTGGATACTAAGGCTTCTGCCCCTGCCCTGTCCCACCAGCCTGCTTCTATAAACTGTGTGCTTTGTGCTTTGCTTAATCCTGCTTTCTTCAGGTAGCAGACACATGGAAGTAGGAAGTTCAGCAGACATCTCTTACACATTTGGATCAGGCTTCCGCTTATAAATTCAAGAGAAGTTATTAAGAATTATTTAGCAAGAGCACTTCCTCCTGTGACTTTGGTAAACAACTGAGTGAAATGGGCCAGATCTGGTCCAGAGCTCAGGGTAGTTTCTGTGAAGGAACAGCAAGCCTGAGAAGAGGCAATGACACCAATATCAGAGACTTGGAAAATATATATTTTATAAAATTGCAGGATAAACCTCAAAAAATTCAACTTAGAAGCTCTTTTATGAAGCAAGTGCTTTGGAGATTTCTGCCCAGAGAAAGAAAAATTATAACCATCACTTGTTTTGCATGGGGAAAATGGAAAAGTAGGAACTTACATAGAGGAAACAATTTGTTTTCGGTTTAGTTCCCCTAAAAGTCTTATTCATAGAGTTATAATATTATTATTGATTTTCCAAACTTTTTTTTTTCTGCAGAACTCATGTAAAAAAAAAATTCTTAGTCTGTTCTTAATCTCTAAAATGTAAATATCTGTATCAAGTATTTCACAGAGTTTTTCTGAAGGATAATTGAATTAGTTTCTGCAAAGTACTTAGTATTTTGCCTAAAGCTCAGCAAGTATTACGGGGGGCTATTTATCAACTTCCTGACATGCAGGATGTTACTCCGAACCACACATAGACACCCTGGCATCCAGGGCTGACAGGTAAAGCCTACCTTACAAATGCTAGAAGGTGGAGGAGTAAAGATCTGGTAAACTGGCTCATAAAAGTTAGACTTTTTCCCCTTAAAAACAGTCAAGAGCACCTAGTTCCCTTGGAAGGCCCCCTTATTAGGACAGCCTAGCCACTTCTCACCACATATGCATAATTCTTCTCAATTATGAGAAGAATAACCATTATGATACTTTTCAGACTTAATCATCTACAGCAGATCATTTATACATTGACTCAGAGGTTCTGTTCCTATTTCCCTTTGGATGGTGTACTTATAGCCTTCCTTTCATTCCTCAGAGCATCACAATTACCTTTTTATATCATGTATTACTGGAAAAGATTCCTCTTGGTAATCTCCCGTCCCTCACAGTGATTCAGGGAGTTGATTTATGGCTTTTGGAGCTCGAAGGACCTTAGAGTGTTGAAATATCTATCTAAGCATGAACCTTCCCTTTGAAGGGACTGTTTTATTTGTTTGTTTCTCACCAAGGTGAAATACTGTACCGAATTAATTTATTCTGTTTGGAGTCGCAGTGCAGCTGTCAAGTCCAGAGACAATTCCAAATAGAGTTCTCTCTTCTAATCTTTGCAATACTACTCTGCTATTTTATTTATTTATTTATTTATTTTCTGTGGTACGCAGGCCTCTCACTGTTGCGGCCTCTCCCGTTGCGGAGCACAGGCTCCGGATGCGCAGGCTCAGCGGCATGCATGGGCCCAGCCGCTCCGCGGCATGTGGGATCTTCCCGGACCGGGGCACGAACCCGTGTCCCCTGCATCGGCAGGTGGGCTCTCGACCACTGCGCCACCAGGGAAGCCCCGCTAAGTTATTTTTTCCTTACGTTTGTAGGGTCACGATACGACCGCAGCTGCAATAAACTTGTCCTTATATCTATTGGGTTCGTATCCAGAAGTCCAGCAAAAAGTGGACAACGAACTGGAGGAAGTGTTTGGTATGTTTCGTCCCTTCACTGGTTACACTGTGGGTACCATGTCCATGGAAGCAAGTGCCGTTCCTGCTCATGAAGGATAAACAGCAGGACCTGTTCTAAAGATACAGCAATAAGCAGGAAGGCTCCCCTATGGGATCCCTTCCAGTCCCTGTCTTCTTAGCAAAGCCTTATTCATCACTTACAGAATACAGGCATTTGCGAATTGCATGGCATGTGACCGCACTGGGCTAGATGCTGGGGATGCACAGATAAATGTTACTGTCCTCAAGCATCTCACTGCTTAATAGATGAAGCAGACATATCTACATAAAGCATTGAGTCATGGGGTCAAGGAAAACTGTTTCATACAGCATTGCATCTGGCCACGAATGAGAGAAAAGATGCATTAAGCCGGCAGGACAAACTTTTCTATGACACAACCAGCAGCCCGCAGGTAAGCTGTTCTGGGCTGATGCGAGCAGTGATGTCACTGGAGTCCCAGCACCACAAAGGGAAACTCTGTCCCGTTAATCAGCCACTCTCCTCTCTTCCCCCAGCCCCTGGCAACTGCTAAGTTACTGTCTGTCTCTATGGATTTACTACGTGCTCTGAATACTTCCTATAAATGGAATCCCACAACATGTGACCGCTGGTGTCTGGTTTCTTTTACTGAACATATCTCATTCTATTTTGATTATGGGTAACGCTAGAAACTCTACTTTAGCTGTGGGTATTTAACATGTTTTGATGCATGTATTCTTCGTCAGTGTCCCATCCCCCAAGCTCAAATAATCCTTTCCTTGTTATCTCATGTATTTACTTAAAACCAGGGAGATCTGATCGTCCTCCTACCTTAGATGACCTGAAGAAACTTAAATATCTGGAATGTGTTGTTAAAGAGAGCCTTCGCCTTTTTCCTTCTGTTCCTTTCTTTGCCCGTAATCTTAATGAAGACTGTGAAGTTGGTAAGAATTCTATACTTTGAATAGGAGGGAGAGTGGATTGTTTTAATGTCTGTCTTGCTCCATCCTCACGGCCTATTGACTACTTTTTGACAGCGGGTTACAAAATCGTGAAAGGCTCTCAAGTAATCATCATGCCCTATGCACTGCACAGAGATCCAAGGTACTTCCCCAATCCTGAGGAGTTCAAGCCAGAACGGTTCTTGCCCGAGAATTCGAAAGGACGTCCTTCATACGCATATGTGCCCTTCTCTGCTGGACCCCGAAACTGTATAGGTTTGTATCCGTCAGAACTTGTTTGACCTTTCAGGCCTGCAGAGTAGGGGGTTTCACACAAAAATTTCTTGAGATGTAGCAGCCCATAGGGCAACTGTCTTTTTAAAAAACTGGCTTCCTCTTCCCTCCACTTTACTACACATTATTGTTTTAAAATATGACTGTCATAAAGTGTATTAGTTTGCTAGGGCAGCCATAACATGGTACCACACACTGAGTGGCTTAAACCACAGGAATTAATTTTCTCCCAATTGTGAAGCTAGAAGTCCGAGATCGAGGCGTCAGCAGGACTGGTAATAAATACCTGCTTAGCTTGTAGGTGATCTTCTCCCTGTCTCCCCACATGGTCTTTCCTCTGTGTGTGTCTGTGTCCTAATCTCTTCTTTTTATAGGGACCACCAGTCAGACTGGATTAGGGTCCACCCATCTGATTATTTTATTTTATTTTTGACCATTTTAATTTAATTACTTCTTTAAAGTTCCCATCTCCAAATAGTCATGTTCTGAGATACTGAGGTTTAGGACTTCAACCTATGAATCTGGGGGGACACGATTTAGCCCATAACATAAAGCATAAATAGTTTCATGGTAGAGTTTGAAAATGTTGTAGCTTTTAGATTAAAATAGAACATAGTTCATATGGTACAAAACATTTATAACAATTAGTTATATTTAGCTTAATTTCTGTGTGTGTTGATTTTAAGAACTGCATTTTTGCAAAACCAAAACACAAAATGCTTACCACAAGGCCAGATGAAGTGCTTAAGCAAAGTGAATGCACGTCACCATGCATTATAAACACTTTCAGCTTCAGAATCTCTAGCATTTTATCATTTATGTAAATGCAGACATTTGTAAATTAAGGCCAGATTTAAATGGATGAATCTGACGCTTATTTAGTACCTCTCGAGTAAATTAAATTTAAGTTAAAGGCCCAAATAAGAAATCAGTCGAGAGTAGTGATTCTCATGCTTAAACGAGCCCAGGATTCATCTCAGGTTTTGCTGAAATACAAATACCTGGCCCACTTCAGCTGTTCGGATGCACTGGGTGGGAACAGGAAGGGCACTCAAGAATCTGCATGGTTTACAAGCATCCCAAGTGATTCTGATTCTCCCAGGGACCACTGCGAAAATATAAAATTGCTTGCTTCCTCTAATTGGACTTGTGATTTCTCACATTTGAGATACATCTATCATTAAAGTGTTGCTATTTACATTAATTTGAAGGTCAAAAGTTTGCCATGATGGAAGAAAAGACCATTCTTTCCTGCATCCTGAGGCATTTTTGGGTAGAATCCAACCAAAAAAGAGAAGAACTTGGTCTGGCAGGAGAACTGATCCTTCGTCCAAGTAACGGCATCTGGATCAAGTTGACGAGGAGAAACACAGATGAGTCCTAACTATACTACTGGGCTGCTCTCTTACCACAAAAAGGGCTTTCTTTAAAGGAAGCTTTGCACTTACAATTCGTAGATCATGAACTCAATATTCTTAATCCCTAAACCTAATTTTTTTCTTGTCCCCACTTACCTTGGGGTCAAGTCTACCAAAGCGAGAGTTTTCATATCTCCATCACCATCATAGATCTGACCCCTGGTCTTGATCCCAAAAGTAAACTGATGACTGTACCCAAATAAACACGTAAAAGCTTCTCAGCAGATACAATTTCAATCAACGGACCCAAAGGATATAATTTAATTGAAGTTCCCAGGTAAGGTATTCTTGTAGACTCAGGAACATATACATGCATGTATATATATACATTTGTTTGAAAAGGGTGAGTAATTAAGTACTTAGACATAAGGAGCTTACGTTTCAAGAATTATATCAGTGGCATCAATTATGAGAAGAATAACCATTATGATACTTTTCAGACTTAATCATCTACAGCAGATCATTTATACATTGACTCAGAGGTTCTGTTCCTATTTCCCTTTGGATGGTGTACTTATAGCCTTCCTTTCATTCCTCAGAGCATCACAATTACCTTTTTATATCATGTATTATTGGAAAAGATTCCTCTTGATAATCTCCCGTCCCTCACAGTGATTCAGGGAGTTGATTTATGGCTTTTGGAGCTCGAAGGACCTTAGAGTTTATCAAGTTATGCCGTGGGCTCTCCCTATCCACGAATTCTGAATCCATGGATTCAACGAATGGCTGATCAAAAATACTTGAAAAAAAATTCCAGAAAGTTCCAAAAAGCAAAGCTATTTACATAGCATTTACATTGTATTAGGTATTATAAGTAATCTAGAGATGATTTAAAGTATACAGTTGGAGGTTCAAGATGGTGGAGTAGAAGGGTGTGCTCTCCCTCCCTCTTGTGAGAACACCAGAATAACAACTAGATGCTGGACAGTCATCGACAGGAAGACACTGGAACTCACCAAAAAAGATACCCCACATGCAAAGACAAAGGAGAAGCCACAATGAGACGGGAGGAGGGGCGCAATCACAATAAAACCAAATCCCATAACTGCTGGGTGGGTGACTCACAAACTGGAGAACACTTATACCACAGAAGTCCACCCACTGGAGTGAAGGCTCTGAGCCCCACGCCAGGCTTCCCAACCTGGGGGTATAGCAATGGGAGGAGGAATTCCCAGATAATCAGACTTTGAAGGCTAGTGGGATTTGATTGCAGGACTTCGACAGGAATGGGGGAAGCAGAGACTCCACTCTTGGAGGGCACACACAAAGTAGTGTGCACATCAGGACCCAGGGGAAGGAGCAGTGACCCCATAGGAGACTGAACCAGACCTACCTGCTAGTGTTGGAGGGTCTCCTGCAGAAGTGGGGGGGTGGCTGTGGCTCACAGTGGGGACAAGGACACTGGCAGCAGAAGTTCTGGGAAGTACTCCTTGGCATGAGCCCCCCCAGAGTCCACCATTAGCCCCACCAAAGGGCCTGCAGGCTCCAGTACTGGGTCACCTCAGGCCAAACCACCAACATGGAGGGAACCCAGCTCCACCCAACAGCAGACAAGCAGGTTAAAGTTTTACTGAGCTCTGCCCACCAGAGCAGCACCCAGCTCTACCCACCACCAGTCCCTCTCACCAGGAAGCTTACACAAGTCTCTTAGATAGCCTCTTATCCACCAGAGGGCAGACAGCAGAAGCAAGAAGAACTACAATCCTGCAGCCTGTGGAACAAAAACCACATTCACAGGAATATAGACAAAATGAAAAGGCAGAGGGCTATGTACGAGATGAAGGAACAAGATAAATAAAACCCCAGAAAAACAATTAAATGAAGTGGAGATAGGGAACCTTCCAGGAAAAGAATTCAGAATAATGAGAGTGAAGATGATCCAGGACCTCGGAAAAAGAATGGAGGCAAAGATCCAGAAGATGCAAGAAATGTTTAACAAAGACCTAGAAGCATTAAAGAACAAACATCTAGAAGAATTAAAGAACAAACAGAGATGAACAGTATAATAACTGAAATGAAAACTACACTAGAAGGAATCAACAGCAGAATAACTGAGGCAGAAGAACAGAGAAGTGACCTGGAAGACAGAATGGTGGAATTCACTGCCATGGAACAGAATAAAGAAAAAAGACTGAAAAGAAATGAAGGCAGCCTAAGAGACCTCTGGGGCAACATTAAACGCACCAACATTCGCATTACAGGGGTCCCAGAAGGAGAAGAGGGAGAGAAAGGACCCGAGAAAATATTTGAAGAGATTATAGTCGAAAACTTCCCTAATGTGGGCCAGGAGATAACCACCCAAGTCCAGGAAGGACAGAGAGTCCCAGGCAGGATAAACCCAAGGAGAAACATGGTGAGACACATAGTAATCAAATTGACAAGAATTAAAGACAAAGAAAAATGATTGAAAGCAAGAGAAAAATGACAACTAAAATAGAAGGGAAATCCCGTAAGGTTAACAGCTGATTTCTCAGCAGAAACCCTACAAGCCAGAAGGGAGCGGCATGATATATTTAAAGTGACATACAATGGAGAAAAGACAGTCTCTTCAATAATTGTTGCTGGGAAAACTGGACAGCTACATATGTAAAAGAATGAAATTAGAATACTCCCTAACACCATACACAAAAATAAACTCAAAATGGATTAAAGACCTAAATGTAAGACTGGACACTATAAAACTCCTAGAGGAAAACATAGGACGAACACTCTCTGACATAAATCACAGCAAAATCTTTTTTGACCCACCTCCTAGAGTAATAGAAATAAAAACAAAAATAAACAAGTAGGGGGCTTCCCTGGTGGCACAGTGGTTAAAAATCCGCCTGCCAATGCAGGGAACACAGGTTCGAGCCCTGGTCTGGGAAGAACCCACATGCTGCAGAGCAACTAAGCCCACGTGCCACAACTACCGAGCCCGCATGCCATAACTACTGATGCCCGTGCACCTAGAGCCCATGCTCCTCAACAAGAGAAGCCACTGCAATGAGAAGCCCATGCACCACAATGAAGAGTAAGCCCCACTCACCGCAACTAGAGAAAGCCCACGCACAGCAACAAAGACCCAACACAGCCAAAAATAAATAAATTAAATAAATAAATTTATTAAAAACAACAACAACAAAAAACAGATGGGACCTAATGAAACAAAAGCTTTTGCACAGCAAACGAAACTATAAACAAGACGAAAAGACAACCCTCAGAATGGAAGAAAATACTTGCAAATGAATCAACGGACAATGGATTAATCTCCAGAATATATAGACACCTCATACAGCTCAATATTAAAAAAAATAACAGCCCAATCTAAAAATGGGCAGAAGACCTAAATAGACATTTCTCCAAAGAGGACATACAGATGGCCAAGAGGCACATGAAAACTGCTCAACATCACTAATTATTAGAGAAATGCAAATCAAAACTACAATGGGGTATCACCTCACACCAGTTAGAATGGGCATCATCAGAAAATCTACAAACAACAAATGCTGGAGAGGGTGTGGAGAAAAGGGAACCCTCTTACACTGTTGGTGGGAATGTAAATTGATACAGCCACTATGGAGAACAGTATGGAGGTTCCTTAAAAAACTAAAATTAGAATTACCGTATGACCCAGCAATCCCACTACTGGGCATATACCCAGAGAAAACCATAATTCAAAAAGACACATGCACCCCAATGTTCATTGCAGCGCTATTTACAATAGCCAGGTCATGGAAGCAACCTAAATGCCCATCAGCAGATGAATGGATAAAGAAGATGTGGCACATATATACAATGGAATATTACTCAGCCATAAAAAGGAATGAAATTCGGTAATTTGTAGAGATGTGGGTGGATCTAGAGACTATCATACAGAGTGAAGTTAGAGAGAGAAAAACAAATATCGTATATTAACACATGTATGTGGAACCTAGAAAAATGGTACAGATGAACCAGTTTGCAGGGCAGAAATTGAGACACAGATGTAGAGAACAAACGTATGGACACCAAGCGGGGAAAGTGGTGGGTGGTGGTGGGGGTGGTGTGATGGATTGGGCAATTGGGATTAACATGTATACACTGATGTGTATAAAATGGATAACTAATGAGAACCTGCTGTATAATAAAATAAAATAAAATTCAAAAAAGAATAAACATTCAAAAACAAACAAAAAAAGGATATTGACAAATACAGCTCTGATTCTAAGGACCCTGTATTTTCAGTTTATTCTGATGTGAAATCCTCCGTTGTTTTCTTATTTCTTTAAGAAAATATTATCTTCTAATAAAAAGAAAATATGTTCATTATGTAAGATTTATTTGGAAATTAGAGATGAAATAGTAGAAATCACCCATAAAATCACCCTATGGAGATAGTAGTAATATCTCGGTATATCTGTATCTAGTGTTGTCCTATACCTAAATATAAATACATATTTACAAAATTAAGAAAAAAAATAAAGTATACAGTTCGATGTGTGTATCCATATGCAAATACTACCCCGTTTTATATAAGGGACTTAAGCATCCATGGATTGGCGTCTGTGGGGGGGGGTCCTGGAACCAATCACTTGCGGATACCCAGGGATGACTGCACTCCCTTTTATTAGAAGGGAATGAGTTCAATGGAAATGTACGTTTCTTCCCAAATTTAGGCCACTAGTGGGTGATCAGGTTGGCAACAGAGGTCTTTAAATCTCTCCACTCCCATTATGATGACACTTCTACAATATGCTCTTGCTTTATGGAACTCATGTCTCCATATGTCATTAGAACACAGATGTTCTGCCTCTGATTTTGGGATATTTCTTCTAGAATTCTTTCATGGTTAAAGGAAAAGAGAAGCCATTCATCTATATTAAGTAACCCAGTCATGTCTCACTTAGTTTAGTGTTGGACTTTCAATAAATTCAATCCTCCAGAACATACCTGTCAAGCTGATAACTGACACCCACTCCCTGAATTTTAATGCCATGGACAACGTCTCTAGTCCCTCACTCAGTGACTTCTTAAAACTTCATTTAATAAGTAATTTTAATAAAATTGTTTTTTCAGTTTTTCCAAGGCCATAGCTGATAGAAATGACAAATTAAGAGGATGGAAGATGTATTCTTCAATGGATATCAAAGAAAGAGCTTACAAAAGCAAAGCCACCTGGGAAACACCATAGGCTGCAGCCCACTTTAATATCCAAAAGACGCCAGTGTAGACCACCCAGCCCCTAAGCTGGTTGGAAA